AATAAAAAATAAATTATAGATAATAGATAATATTATTTATATTGATTAAGCTAACACGCAATTATCTTTTGAGTTGTAATTTGATTTTTTTTTCTTTTATAATTCAGAGCTACAATTGTCTCTCAAATTTAATTTTTTATTTCTAAAATTTTGCGGTATAATTATCTCTCAAAATTAATTAAAAAAATTTATAACTAGGATATGTAACTCTATAAAATTAATTCAATTTTTTTTGTATTTATTATTTATTAATTATATCCATTTGGCCTTATGTAATTATTAATTGGATATATTTTTTTATAACTAAAAGGTATAATTTCTTACCAAAATTAATCTATTTTTATTTTTATTTTATAATCGGAAGGTATAATTCCCTCCAAAAATTAATTCAATTTCTTTTTATATAATTAAAAGATATAACTCCCTCCAACATCAATCCAATCTTATTATCTATTATTTATATCCATTAGGCCTAAATGTTTTTTTCTATTGGGTGTAATTAAAGTTTTTTAGTGTAACTATGAGGTATAATTCCCTCATAAAATTAATCTATTTTTTTAATTAGGAGGGACAATTTCCTTATAAAATTAATTCAATATTTTTTATTTAACTAATAAGTATAATTCCCTCCAAAATCAATCTCAAATTTTCTGATATTATCATTTATAATTATTATCTACTATTTATATCCATGAGATCTACGTTTACTTGTCCATTGGATTTAATTCAATTTTCTTACTAGTGGGCATAATTCCCTCCCAACATTAATTCAATTTTTTATTTTTATAATTATGAAATATAAATCCTTCTAAAATTTAATTTAATATATATATATATATAATCTTGTTGAGTTGTCTTAATTTTATAGTGATATTTGATGCGTTAAATCTTTTATTGAAAAGAAATAAAGGATGTAAAAAGATTAAATTGATTTTAGTGGAAGTTATACCTTCTAATTATATATATATATATATATATAATATGTATAAGTAACTACATTTTTTGAATGCAAAATTTCTTTTTACCAATAATTGCA